TCGTTTCAAGATCTAAACTGCTTTTCCACGGTCTTATTTGTCTAAATCTAATTGTGGAAATGGTGTCACTTCAGGTTATATGAAAGCATTGTTATCTGAGTGAAGTGATGTATAGTATTCATGATCTTTGTCATCATATCATATCGAAAATGTCCGAAATTGAGTCTCTTTCGGATGGATACAGCCTGAGAACTTTTTTTCTTGCTTGGCTCGGTTGCATTTTCCTTTGTGTTTCTCGAGTAAGCTTTCTATAGTTGCAGATGGAATAATCGTTGGCATAATTTTGCAGGATGTGATTGACGGTGATTTGTGCGAACAGTTCCCTACTTTGCCTATGGACATGCAACGTAAAATTGCGGAGGAGCTTGACAGAACTCCAGGAGAGATTTTGAAAAAGCTGGAAGAAATACGAAATAAAATAATTTGAGGTAAATGTTCTGTTCGGTGGAAAAATTCGCAAAACTCAATCTGCCGTGTATCGTTTGCTTATTTATTTGTATTCACTTGGTTGATGTAGTTATATAGCTACTAGCTTTCTGTTCACTTCTGCGTGAAACTTGGATGCATTATATAATTGTTGAAGGGTTGCTCAAATTCATTTCTCTGCAGTCTGCATTTATTCATCTCAAATGATCTGCCAAAAAGTTGCATGCACAGCTTATTTGAAAACCAATCAGAACAGTAAAACGTATTTAGTATAATTGAACTAAATTAACCTCGTCAAAGACCAACACCTGACATTGTTGCGTGAAAGCGAAACTCGATTGAGATTCCTAGATAGACGGATGTATTATGGAACTACAGGTGATTGGTGTTTAATTATCATTACTCAACTTGGTCCACAGAGTGTGTATTTGCGTAGAACTTTTAGCTTGATAATCTTGTAATGCGCTAATTGCTGACTGTATTTTATGCGTGATCAGGTCTTTGATGGGCTTTTCATCAAGTGAGGACCGTGTTGTTTCAAGAACATACATCTTTGACAAAAGAAAAGGAAAAAAAGAAAATCGTGTTCTTTGTCGAATGCCTCTAAGGAGAATAATTGTTGGCTCAGTTGAATGTTGGGCCAAGAGGTAAGGTTGGAAGAGAATGTCTGCATGCAACCAACAGAGGAAAAATAGAAGTGAATTTATTTGGCTCAAAGTTGCTTTCTTCTGTTGTAATTACTGGTATGTAGCAGGTTATCAGTCCTTGTTTACTGTAAATTTCATGTTGGGATCAGCTTGATGTCTAATTTATTGGCTTTTCAAAGTGAAACCAAAACAATTATTGTCAAACTTACGTCTTTTGCCCTATTGACGTTGTTCCATTGAGCAGGAAATATATGCAAATTTTGATGGATGCTAATGCACATGGATTTTTAGAGCACTTTTTAATATTTTCAGCTGGTTGAGGATCAAATAATAATATTTTTACATACATGCGAATAAAACCCAAATCAACCATAACCAAATAATTATTATGCACAGAAAAAATTTAAATAAAGATGTCATTTTTTTTTTTTTTTTTTTTT